TGTTACCAGGAAGTAGACACGTCTCTCCAGCCGGTTTTCCGGCATTTCGGGTCTCTCCGTCACCGCGTCAAGCCGGTTTTCCGGCATTTCGGGTTCATGGGGTTAATGAGATTTCGAGTTTTTATTTTACATAGTTAAAAAAGTAAAAAAACAGGTGTTATGGGTTGTGGTGTTACAGTCAATCTGTGTAATCAGTTATTTCACGTAATGACTAAACGAATCAGTCATTTCGCGAAGAGCCTGTGAGCACAAGGCAATACGTGTAATGACTGAAAATTCCAGACATTACTCGAAATGACTAAAATTCCTACCCTTTTTTTACACATAATGCCCGATTGTAGATTTTGCAAATCAGGCAATATGTGTAACACGTAAAATTACAACATAACCTTTAAAAAAAACCATTTAATATTGGTTTTGAGTTTTTATTTCGTTTTTCTTGGCATTAGGTCTGTAGAATGGTTGTTTTTATTGGAATTTAATGAATTTATAGGCTTAAATCCTGCCCTTCCAATAACCCGTTTTTAGTTTAATGGATGGTCCCATTGCCGTTTTAACAGATGAATGATGTGATTTCAATCTGAAGGAATCACTATAGCACCCAGAGAAAATACTACTCACTGATTTAATTACCCGGCCTCTAGGGGACCATTAATGATTGGTCAAATCTTTGTTCTATTAATGGTCTTTGTATTTAAGTGAAATTATGTTAATTCTTTATGCATGTATCAACAATTATTTTCACTGACAATATTAATTAAATTTAATCTTCTTTCAGGGTGTTGTGTATCTAAAAACTTGATAAAATCATTGTCAATACTTCAAAACAAGTTATCCATTAATCATTGTGTTTAATTTCAGAAAGAGTGGTCTATGGCATATTGGATGTTGTCATTAGCATTACCCTTATCAACCTTGATCACTCTCAATAATTACATTACTTTAATTAAGTTGGGTTTCCTTTAAGGTAATTAGAAGGGTGTCTCTGATTGGTCAGCATTAACCACGTATTGTTGTTTACATGGATATATTGTCTTGTTATAAGGATTAGAGAAGCCTAGTCGAAACATCACTCAGTGATAAGCAGTAATAGTATTCCATAGAATTGTGACCAGTATATCCCAGTTCAATTGCTAAATTCCATTGAAACAATTTACTTGATATCCTCATGGCAGAATCTTACGAAAATCGGTTTAAAGCAGAGCTTTACAAGAAATATGAAGCTTGCAAGAGAATTTTAATTCCAAAGGAGGCGTATTTCACAATGATAGACGATATAAAAACAGCAGCAGGAGCTGGTGGAACAAAGAACAGACATGGATACTACTTACTATCAAAGTAAGTACAACAAAGTTGTTTACAAGACAATTTATTTCTTTAATTTTCAAAATTTACAAATTTGACCTAAATATTCGAACAGCTGAGGTCAATCCGATTCCAAAAATATAAGTTCCATTCAAAATTATATCATTTCTTTTTTCAATATTTTCCCGCCATTTTCATTTCATTTTCTGATTCGTCTCGATTTTAAACGGCTTGATCGATTTTTCTGGAACTGGAAGTCAATCATATTACAGCAATACCAGTGTCAGTCATTTCCTTTTATTTTTCATATTATTTTTTATATAACCAATGACATGTCACAGGAAGTGGCCATAAATATGAAAGCTTTCATATCTGCCTGGCTGATCTAGTTATACATGTTTTTGTTCTGTCAGCGCTTTTTGAATATAGGGTGGGTCTGGGGTGTATTTTTCAAACATTACATATATGCATGGTTTAAGTATCTTTTAAATATAGTTTTAAAAATGTATCGTATTTTTTCAGGTTTGAGATACTGCAGTGCGGTGATGTTGAGAAACTCATCAAAAAGCATACCACCCAAGATGAGGATCCAGTATATTATGTCAGTATAGAAGACACATATGATGTGGTCAAGCGAGCTCACATAGCCACAGGCTCTTGAAATTTTCAAGTCCTACTGCCAGGAATGTCAGAAGAAACGCAAGCGCCCAAGGACCAAGGGTGTGGTGGCACGTCCCATTCTAACAAAAGAATTCGCCTCACGTGCACAAATTGATCTGATTGATATGCAGTCCATGGCCCAAAATTCATTCAAGTGGATCATGGTCTATCAAGACCACTTGACCAAATTTGTTATTCTACGAGCATTAACCTCAAAACGTGCTGCTGAGGTTGCCCATCATTTACTGGATATTTTTCTTCTTCACGTGCCCCATCGATCCTCCAGAAAGACAATGGAAGTGAATTTACAGCTGAGGTTATCTCTGAACTGAAGCTGGTGTGGCCCAGACTGGTCATGGTTCACAGTAAACCTCGACACCCTCAAAGTCAAGGGTCTGTGGAAAGGGCAAATGGTGACATAAAGGATATGCTTGTTGCTTGGATGGGGGATAATAACACAAATGATTGGTCTGTGGGCATAAAATTTGTACAATTCCAGAAAAATTCCAGTCTGCATTCTGGAATCAAACGATCACCATATGCCGCTATGTTTGGATGTGAAGCTAAAGTTGGCTTAACATCATCATCTTTGCCGACCGAGGTTATTGAACGGATGCAAAGTGAGGATGATTTATTGTTCGCATTTTCCAATCTGCAAGACTCAACCACCAATCTTGACCCGTCACAAACTACCAGTCAGGAACCATCACAAACCACCAGTCTGGAACTGTCACACACTATCAGTCAGGATCCGACGCAAACTACCAGCCAGGAACTGTCACAAGCTACCAGTCAGGATCCGACGCAAACTACCAGCCAGGAACTGTCACAAGCTACCAGTCCGGAACCGTCACAAGCTACCAGTCCGGAACCGTCACAAGCTACCAGTCCGGAACCGACACAAACTACCAGTCAGGAACCGACACAAACTACCAGTCTGGATTTTGACTTTGAACCTCCAGCCAGCCCAATTGAACAGGGGAATAGTCCCTCCGATTTACTCAATGCCCGATTGCAAAACATCCTATGCGAAAGAAATGGTGCCAGCTCTGCTCAGATGATACAAGCTCAGCGTATGGTCAAGAGGAGTCGAGTGGAACTAGCCACTGGCCAGGTGGGAGACAACGCAGCTGTACCCATCCCTCTAGTGGATAGAGGTCGTGGTGATCCACGTAATATTCTGGGAATAATTATCGACCGCGATGAGAATAACATGTACACCATTTGTGTGAAAGCAGGAATTCTAAAAGGGAAGTTTTCACGCAATCAGTTTGATTTGTGTCCCCAACAGTTACTTACTGAATCTGATGTAGACCTTACAAAGACGGTAACACTTCGCCAGGCTGTACATAAAGAATCCAGCTGCGGTGGACAGGGGTATGTCCGGTGCAATTGTGCAGGTTCCAAGAGATGCGGGACGAATAGATGCAAATGCTTCAAAATGAAAATCAAATGCTCCAGCCGCTGTCATAGCAGCCTGTTCTGCAAAAACAAGTGACTTGAGTGATGAACCAGTCAGGATTTTTTTTAAAAAGTAGTTTGACAGTAAGACTTTTGTGATGAAATTAATATTTCATTTCAACGAATTAATATTTCGTTTCAGTAAATCAATATTTTGTTTAAAAGAATTAATATTTCGTTATAATTAATATTCTGCAATGTATGATTTAACGTTGGATGTGAAGTCAATAAATGTTATACAGTGACTTTTTGTGGTTTGACGGTCCTTCAGTCATTTCGCGTAATGTCTGACCATGATGTTTAGTCATTCCGTGTAATGTCTGGAATTTTCAGTCATTACACGTATTGCCTTGTGCTCACAGGCTCTTCGCGAAATGACTGATTCGTTTAGTCATTACATGAAATGACTGATTTCATAAATTGACTGTAACATATATACTTTTCTATTGTAGTTATACTTTTGAAGTTTTGGTCTTGGTTTTGTGGGAACTAGGATTTGATTCTTATGTTTGGTGGAATTTATTCTTTGTGTCCTTAGTTTAAAATATTTTAGAGTTCATTTTTGTTCTAGAAGGTTTTGTTGTACATTTCACTTTAAGGTTGTTTATCAGGTGACATAAATCTTTGTGTTCTGATTGGTTTATTTGGGTGGCGCATTTTATTAAAAGATAATATGAATCAGTATTTCCTCTCACTCTTCGTTTTCTGCTTGGATGAATGGTTCGTTCCCAATTCATACAGCCCATTTCCACAAACTGGTAAGACACAATTATATTACATGAATGCTTGATATGTGACGTTATTTTGTGAAATAAAGTGTGTTGAATGAATGATTCTATATTATGATTTTATGAAATAATTTAGACTTTATCCAAAGATGGAAGTCAATCATTGGGTTTACTGTGACATGATCGAAATTGTATAACATTAAATTGTATCATTACAGTTTAGTATGGAATGTATTTTTGTTATTTCAGGGCATGTTATTCTTATTCATGATGCTTTTGAAGTTCTTCATGTGATGTTATTTTTGATACTCTGATGCTACATCTTTAACCAGTCAGAGAGAAGGAGAAATGGAGTTTAACGTCCACTCGACACAAACTAGGTCATTTCGGGACTAGCATGGTTTAATTTATTTTATTTCAATAATTCGCTTGCGCGTAAGGGTCTTTAGCAGTGGGAGGAAACCGGAGGACCCGGAGAAAACCCACGAGGTTGGACAGGCGACCCTACTCCTTGTCACGTACAATCGGGGATTCGAAACCCTGCCAGTTGACTCAATGACAGACCGTATGATACAGCGCAGCACGCACTAACCATTCGGCCATCCAACCTCCCCAGACCGTATGATACAGCGCACGCGTGCTAACCATTCGGCCATCCAACCCCCCTCTTTAACCAGTAACCGCGTTCGCGGGATCATCATTATATTTTGTTGTAACTATGTGATATATTGGTGATATTTATATAAACTTTTAAAACCATCTAGCATTATCATTTCTCCTCACTTAAAGCAGCGAGTCTAAACTTTTATTTGGGCGCGGCATATAGTTGCGACATAATAAACTTACTTTCTACTATCCTTCTCTTTAGGCCGTTTGGATGGATGTTTTTGTAACCATTCTAAATGTTTCTGGAAATTCCAGTGACCTAAATAAATAACTTGTCTGCCTTCAGGTCCCTAAAAATAGAAACATTTACTATGTATTAATAAATCCTATATGTAATCACTAATCATGTCGACACAGTGCCAGATTTAGATAAAGAGCGGCCTTAGTCTATTCCACTTATGGGGCCACTCCCAATCCTCCACCATCTTTAAACACAATGAGCAAAGAATGATGAAGGATGGTTACGACTTAAGAGCCATTCCACGAGAAAACCATGCAATATCAGGCAGATGTTCGAAGGTGGGGGTCGGCTGATTAAACATGCATTATGCAAGAGCTAAATCTGATTATTGCAAGTCTTAATTTAGGCTTCAGATGTTATAGAAATTATAAATTAGATCTTTATTTAAACAACAAGACCAAAATCAACTCTGTAGACCCACGGATGGCTCGGCTACAGCTCGGATTTAAATAGGATTTCACTAATTGATTAAATCAGATAAGGGGTAACCTGATGAAAATACGTCAGTTAGATCGAGGCTAAATGATAGAGTGTACTTAGCGAGGCCGCTGTAAAGCGTTTCCGTATGCCATTGAAAACTTTACTTGATTATCGAGATATGTAGGTGGAGTTAACGCCTGTCAAACGTTCGGCGACGGTGAAGACACATTTCGCTACCATTTCTAGGCAAATATTACAACGATGATAACTATGTTCAGAATAAAGTATTTTGACTGAATTTTTCAATATATTCTTCTTTCATCATCTACTTTTGAACTGTTATAGCAAGAATGACCAACTCTCTATAAATATCTCCCATAATGTATCTTTAAGTTCATACTCACGGGGTTTGGCCGACCCATCGAGCCTACTCCCCAGCCCAAATCGCCGATTTCAGAAATCAACCGTTTCCGAGATACAGGCTGATTACGTTTTTCGGCTGATTTTTGGTCATTTTTAGGCCAAATTTCAGCTATTTTTGTCGCACTACTACCGCTGTTGCACGACCCTGGCGAACTAGGTTTTGGTTGTTCGTGATAGTCGGGGTCTTACCCTATCACATTATCATGGTCACCCGGTTCAAGTTCATTTTCCATAGGTGTCAGGAGACTACACAAGATACGTGTCTGGAGATACCTGAAATGTACAGATCGCGATAACTCCACCGGAGCAGGGTTTGCGATAAAAATTAAAATCAATTTATTTGCAGCTTGACCAGTTCTAACAACATAAGAAATAAAATCGTCGTAAACTAACTTGCAAAAGTATGAAAATTCGTGTCGAAAGTTACCAAAAACTTTAGTTTTGATTGGGATACATCGGCGGATTATTCAGGTACCCAATCGCCAATATTGTTATTCAAAAGGTCAATGTATCAACTCCGGCTCCCATTCAACCAGTTTTGCCAAAATATTCAGTCTCGGTGTGGTTTGGTATCCAGTCTACAAATCCAGGATGGCGTCTCCCAGTGAATATGGATTTTCGCAAATTCTCGATCTAGAATGTCGATCCTGATTATTTACACATTTTTTTTCTATGAAAAATGAGAAATTTCAATTCAAAATTTTGAAAAAAAGTCGAGTTACAGCAGATGAAAGTTGACAATTATGCAAAACAGACCCAATTTCCATGAAAATCGCCTATTTAGTCTTCACCGTGACCTTCAATCGCGAGGTCATCAGGGATACAATTTGAAGTTCACACGTTGCTCTATCGACAAACCATATCTCATTCGAAAATATTGAAAAACAAATGAGTTAGTGTTGGGATTTCAAAAATGTTCTTGTCCGACATTTTACCGAAAATAAAGAGGTATAACTCGTTATTTAAGCAGACGGATTCATACCACAATTAAAAATCACGTGTCAACAAAATATTCAAATCCGCACGTAATAAAAATAGGAACTCCTCGCTATTTTTGTACGCCCACATTCTCGTGTGGATGTATATTGTCGTCACCCGTGTTCGCCCGTCCGTCAACAATTTGTTTATGGGCACTCTACAGGTCACAATTTTTGTCCATTTTCAACAAAACTTGAAATAGGTTTATGTCTCTAAGAATTCGGCTCCTGTCGATATTGGTATGTATCGGACCGTAACTTCATGGACTACGGCCCCTGAACTTACGAAAAATCACGTTTTTAGCTTGTGGACACTGCACATGGAGGATACAATTTTTATCCGATTTTGATGAAACTTAAAAGGTACTTTTATAACCCAATGAACTCGGTTCCTTTCGATATTCTCGCATATCGGATCTTAACTTCCTGGATTATGGCCCATGATTGTACAAAAGGTCGTGTTTTTAGCTTGTAGCCCCTCTAGAGGTCACAATTTTTTTTTTTTGATTTTTAAAAACGCTAATGATGGTGGAGTTCGAATTTCGTGAAAAACTGATCGAAACTGCCAGACAAAATGGCCGCTCCTCGTACGCAAATAGTGTAAAAGTATGTAATTCCAAGGTTGTGGACACCCTCGAGGTCACAATTTATATCTGATTTTCATGAGACTTAAAATAATTATGTTTAGATCCCAAAGATCTCGGTCCCTGTCGATATTCACGCATATCGGACCGTAACTTCGTGGAATATGACCCCCGATTTTAAGAAAAATCGCATTTTTAGCTTGAAGTTCCTCTTGAGGTCACAATTTTTATCCGATTTTAAAAACCGTTTCAATATATCACCGTTACGCCCTAATGACAACTAAGTTTGAATTTCATGAAAATCAGAGGGAAACCGCCGGACAAAATGGCCGCTCCTCATAAGCAAATAGTGTAGTAAAAGTATGTAATTCCAAGATTGTGGACACTCTAGAAACACAATTTTTATCCGATTGTGATGAAACTTAAAATGTATGTTTATATCCCAAAGATCTCGGTTCCTTGCGATATTCGCGCATATCACATCGTAGCTTCCTGAATTATGATCCCTGAATATACAAAAAACACGTTTTGATCTTGTAGTCCCTCTGTCACAATTTTTATTCGACTTGATGAAACTTTTATATTATATACTTTTATATCCCAAAGATCTTGGTTCCTTTTGATATTGTCGCATGACGGACTGTAACATACTGGATGATGGCCCCTGGTTGTACGAAAAATCACTTTTTATTCAGCTTGTTCTCTGTCCATCTTGTGGCTGTATCTTGCATGGCAACCGCTTATTCATATTTAATTCCCGTATGGATGGTATTCAAATTTATGTCAGTAATATTCGTACAAAATTATGTGTTTTCGTAATACGATAGAATGAAATTTGCCGATCCGCGCCTGTTTCAATCAAATTCACGCCAGTAATATTCCCCCAAAATTACGAGTCTTCGTTTATACGTCAGCGAATGAAGAAAGGCGTCCGAAATAATTTTCGTAAAATGGTATTTTACAATTACATTGATAGTTAAATTACTTGTAAAAGGCATACATAACTTCGGCGTATGGCATACGTGACCGTTAACATATAACACATACAGTTTGTTTCGTAGTAAGCACTGCCTTACATAGTAAGCGATTTTCGTGCAATAATCAAGATCGCGGGAAAGTGCCACTGTGGATGGGAATTTATATACGGTGTCTTAAAAGAAGTAGTTTCATTACGGAAAATAAGTTAAAGGTTTAATAGCTAACAATAGACAGAGGTTTTGAAATTTATAATGACTGTCCATTGATTTGGGGTGTTATATACTATTAGGATAATATGTGACATCAAGGACTAGTTTCTACATGCTGTCGGTTGATATCAATGGATTAAACTTTCCGGTAATGGAGAAACCACCAAGGTAATCACGTAGATAAGGTTGATACTCATTATTGGATTGATGAAAAGTCCGACAAAAGAGAAGCAATGACTTGTGTTCAAGATTAGATTGGTGAATTTCCCGACAAAGTAATAAGTCAGTCAAGCAAGGAAGATTAAGCAGGTAAACAACGTAGGTGTATAGACGGTATAATACGATAAATACGCTGATCACGTAATTATACCTAATCAATCCAGCCTATTATCAACAATTATCGGGATGAGTGGTAGTTAACCACATATGAGATACTGCAGTGCGGTGATGTTGAGAAACTCATCAAAAAGCATACCACCCAAGATGAGGATCCAGTATATTATGTCAGTATAGAAGACACATATGATGTGGTCAAGCGAGCTCACATAGCCACAGGCTCTTGAAATTTTCAAGTCCTACTGCCAGGAATGTCAGAAGAAACGCAAGCGCCCAAGGACCAAGGGTGTGGTGGCACGTCCCATTCTAACAAAAGAATTCGCCTCACGTGCACAAATTGATCTGATTGATATGCAGTCCATGGCCCAAAATTCATTCAAGTGGATCATGGTCTATCAAGACCACTTGACCAAATTTGTTATTCTACGAGCATTAACCTCAAAACGTGCTGCTGAGGTTGCCCATCATTTACTGGATATTTTTCTTCTTCACGTGCCCCATCGATCCTCCAGAAAGACAATGGAAGTGAATTTACAGCTGAGGTTATCTCTGAACTGAAGCTGGTGTGGCCCAGACTGGTCATGGTTCACAGTAAACCTCGACACCCTCAAAGTCAAGGGTCTGTGGAAAGGGCAAATGGTGACATAAAGGATATGCTTGTTGCTTGGATGGGGGATAATAACACAAATGATTGGTCTGTGGGCATAAAATTTGTACAATTCCAGAAAAATTCCAGTCTGCATTCTGGAATCAAACGATCACCATATGCCGCTATGTTTGGATGTGAAGCTAAAGTTGGCTTAACATCATCATCTTTGCCGACCGAGGTTATTGAACGGATGCAAAGTGAGGATGATTTATTGTTCGCATTTTCCAATCTGCAAGACTCAACCACCAATCTTGACCCGTCACAAACTACCAGTCAGGAACCATCACAAACCACCAGTCTGGAACTGTCACACACTATCAGTCAGGATCCGACGCAAACTACCAGCCAGGAACTGTCACAAGCTACCAGTCAGGATCCGACGCAAACTACCAGCCAGGAACTGTCACAAGCTACCAGTCCGGAACCGTCACAAGCTACCAGTCCGGAACCGTCACAAGCTACCAGTCCGGAAC